ATGTTCACATTTTCACATCTTTGAAAATGTATATATTTGATGGCAGCATGAGTGTAAAGATATTGTTTAACAGAAATAGCTTAGTGATCAAAAAACATTGCGTTGAGGTGTTATACTTTGTATGATGTTACATGGTGCTGTAAGGGAGATATGCTATAAAGAAGGCTTTTTTTAAAACCTTTTGTAGAAATGCCTCGTGAGCAGTTAAACTGTTTAACTGGTGGGCGAGCATCCTGATAATGATTAGTATGGTCACTTTAATATATGTTCCTAACAAATGAATTTTTCAACGATTGACAACTGCAGCCTGAAAAGTGGCGAAAAGTTTATGGTTTCTGCAAAACAATGATACCAAATTCAAAATATAACTAAGTAAATTGCGTCATGATTTTAAAAAAAAGAAACATGGAATTTGCAGATAATGGTATGATGACACTTCTCAGCAGCACCGTATAGCGGCCCAAAAAAATTCAACTATGATGAGCCATAAAACTATAAAGTTCATCAACAAAATGGAACCTAAGCTTTATACTCTTTTTTCGTTTCCGTCTGGTAAGTACAAAGTCGCTTTTAAATTAGCTATTTAAACTCTCAATTTCTGAGTGTATCGAAGTTAAGCCACTTTTCTTCTCAGCTTCAATTAATTATAAAAAAAAAGTTCCGCTGCGTTAATCAATGTATTCAAAGCTGAAAATCTTGCCAATTTTTCTTGTAGTTCTTCTGCACGTTAATTCCGGCTCAACTGCATCAAGCTTTCTGCCGCTTGAGGTAATCTTAAGCTTGAAATTTGTTTTTCTTCTCGTTTTGAAGAAATTTTAGAAAGGCTGGAACAGCGTGAAACAGCAATACATAATTCACATCTGGAGTTTTACATCAAAACGTTTTGACTCTCCTAAGTTTGTAATAGTGGAACGACAAAACCTAAATGAAAGTCTTTTACTTAGCTGTTTGGCTGAAAACGGAAAGATGTAATTTAATCATTGTTTCTGTGAGCAACTACAGAAAGACTGGAAAAAAGCATTTGAAATATTTCGTTTTTTGTCATCCGTGAATAACTGAGAGCAGTATCTGAACATCGTCAACATGCTTTCTGTTTTGATGTTTGTCTTATGACATTTTAGTGATGATTAGTTTATTAGATGGGACCGCCACTCATCAAAGCAATGTCAAACTGCTGGCAGCGAGAAATTTATAGATTTCTAAAAGCATAAAATTTTGCATTTTTTAAATAACAAAAAGATTTTTAAGAGTTATGTATAAACACCAGTTTTTTTCCTTTGAGACGTACTTTGGACTTTAGGAAGATTGAATTTTGTTACCTTGTTAATTCATCCTGAGTTTACTTCGTACTTTGTTCTAAGTGACGCAAAAGGACATTCAAATGCAGCTGAAAAACTGATAAGAAATTGGAACAGTTAATGTACCGAAACGAAAATTAATAAGGTAAAAGCTGTAACAAATCAGCACAAAAGATTCCTTTTTAATCATCTGTATAAAAGTTTTGAATATTTGACACTTAAATTGGTTAAAATATTGTGTTTGAGTGTAATTTTTTTTGAACTTATATACTAATTAGAAAAGTTAATTTTGTTAGCAGTCATTTTCGGTAGTTCATTGCAAATGCAGTCAAACTGCACAAATCAGACAAAAACTGTGCGAGAAGATGAAGCCTCTACAAAAAGAAAAAAGTTGTGCTTCAGCTGAACCGTCAAGTTAAGGCTAGTAATCAAAGCGACTACTGATTAAGATTGTTAAATTACTATAAAGAAAAAGTGTTGGCAAGAAAAAAATTTTCATAGCCAGTACCACCTAAGCAATAAAGTTTTTTTCCCTTTTAAAAAATTATTATTTTATTTTGCATACTTTAATTTTCAATAACAACTTCAGTTACTGGACGATCTTCTCGGACTTATTGATCGGATAAAAGGTGAACAGTGCCGGAATGATACAAGATATTGGCTTCTGAGTGTACAGAACTTTTCTACTTGGTACCCAATAAGCTGCAACACTGATGTTTGTCGGCTGGAACGTCAAAAAGTGCTTGATGAGACAATGTTTGCAATCAAACGTATGAAATTAAAGCTAGTTTGTTAGTTAATTAATTAGAGAAAGACCATTAAAATTTGACAGTCAGCAATAAACAATTACGTGCCAGTGAAATACGTTGTAAATGTCCCATAAGTGCAATGATTTGAGTAAGCTGATGAGATTTAGCAGTTTTCGAAGTGCTATATAGACAGTAGAAAGGATCATTTACTGCTAATTGCTTCTACAACAGTCATTTAGGAGGAAACAAATTTGGACAAACTTTTTCTAATGTTTCAGAACTTGACTCATTTGGAAAGCTCCCATCAAATATTCTTGGGCTAAATGCTCGTTGGCAGGGATCTTGGGATGAATGTATCAATACGAAAGTTGGGGATAACTATGCAGGACAGTTCTGTTGGGTTGGAATTGCCCCAAACGTCAAAAAGTTGGGCATTGTCGTAGATCCCGACGTTTCGGTAGGTGATCGAAAACTATTTCGAGTATGAGTTTGATAAGGAGAAAAACATTTCGTTTTTCAACTATCAGTCAGTTACTGGTAGGACAACCAAATCTTAAGCCATAACAGAAAATTAAAATTTCATAGATTTGAAAAAAGTACTCTTCAAAAAACTGGTGCGTAAATGAAAGTCAAGAATACAATTTGGAGTATCAGTTTTAGATTGGCTGCGGCGGGTCAAAAGTTCAATGGAGTGTATGTATGCCCAGGAGTTGTACAGACCAAGTAAGTTCAGTTTTATGCATCATTTACCACATTTATCTCGTGTTCGCTCATCTCTTCTATAAAAATTCAGGAACACAACTGCTTGGTAATTCTGAAAAGTGTTTAAAATGGCAATAAAGAAACGTGCTACTAGTAGTAAATGGCTAAAATCATAAAATAAGCCTAGAAAAATTATTGAATATGTCATTTTGGTACAGATGTTTTCAATGCTATTTTACCTATGCAAATCTAAAATTTTAGGATTTAACTACGTTGTTCACTGCATTAAATAACGAGACTAAAGATTATGTGGAATTCTGTTCAGCACAGTGCCTTCCTGCTACTGCTCCAAAGAAGAAATTTTGGTTTTGTTTTGTAATGTAAGCGTTGCTCAGTGTCACTTTTGTTTCAGTCTTTTTGAACCAAAATCCAAATTTTTATCTCCTGTTTTCATTTGTGTCTTTTATAAAATTTAGAAATACTGATTTGAAAAAAAACTTTTTTTGGAAAGTAACGTTTTATTTAAGACATTAGTTTTGAATGGCTGATTCATTGATAATTAGTAACTTTACAGGGCTTATTGTCTACTTGTTGGGCTCTTAGTAATTGTTAGTACCTTTGTGGATTACCTAACAGAACCAAAAGAGGGAAACGATTACAGTCGTATTCGTTCAAAAATAGGTATTTGAATAATGAAACAGCAGTTTTTGCAGTCATTTGAAGTTAATGGTTTTCTATAGTTTAATAAACTCCTCGCCGCTTGAAAAAAGTTCTTTTTAGAAGTTAAAAATACTTCAAACCAAAGATATGTTCGCGTATTTCGCCGAAAAAACTATAATATATTAGCATTTACGACCAATAAACTCTGATTCTTAATTAAAATTAAAGTAATCTTGCTCTCTTACAACTTGATCTTATGTTTTTCAGGTATCAAGTCACTGTTATTTTTTTCTCTCTATACAAATGGTGCAGAAACATTGAGCACCAAGAAGCACCCAGGTCAGATACATTGTCTGAACTGTATACGAGCAGTGTCGACCACTTGGGTGATCGCTGGACATATAAATCTTGTGTTTGAGGGAGGAGGTTTGTTTATGACTTTACACTCCTGGTAAAACAAATTTGGCATCAGTTTAGCCTTAAATAATCTACAGAAAAAAGTCTGAAAGGCTTTGAGTTACAAATGTTGACTTCTGATATATTTATAGATGACCCGTTGGAGCTGCTAAACACCAGGAAGTATTTTCTGAACCAAGCATTTTTGAATGCCTTCCCGGCTGTAGACAGTTTTTTCCTCATTGGTGGTGTATTAGCCGGTTTCCTCTTTATCAAAGAAATGACACGTCATCCAAAAAACCTTAAAAGTGGAGTTTATTGGTCTCTGTATTACATCCATCGCTATATCAGGTCTGAAATAATTCTAAAGCGTGCAAGTGGAAAGAAAAACAATGACACTAAGTAATTTAGTCTGAAAAAAAGCCAAAAAATCTTTAACTTTCTCTTAACATAATGGTAAAAACTGAAATATTTTAGATTGAGTGTACCGTATTTCTTTTTCATTGGTTTTTACGTGATGATGTGGCCATATCTTACAAAGGGTCCTATGCAAGCTGATTCCGACATTGACCTATGCAAAAAGTATTGGTGGCGAAATGTGCTCTACATCAGCAATTTTTTTGATACCACAGAAATTGTAATTGATTTCTTTATTTCTATTGATAATTGGTGTAGTGCTAAAAGAAAAAAAACTGCTTTTTCTGTTGAAAAATTTTTGCCAATTATACTTAGAAGAACAAAAGAGTTTACCTCAGGTGGTTTCGGAAAAAAAAAGTAATTGTAAGGTTAGTTGTGAAATGTTTTTTTTGTAGTGTATGATTCATACATGGTATTTATCAACAGATATGTGGATTCATTATTTTACTCCACTGCTGCTAATACCTCTTTGTTTTTCGCCATTTCTTGGAGGTATGGTAGCACTGTTGTTGATGTTAGTGACGATTGGAACAACCTATGGCACATATAACAAATACCACTTTCCTGCTTCGTTAACTGCTTTGGTTAAAGAGTAATAATTTATGAAGACTTTCTTTTTGAACTTCTTTTTACCAGTAAATATTACAGAAAAAAACAAAATTATTTTGATGTACCAAACAAACTGTTAACACAATGCTTTTCGTCTGTCCGCTGTTTCACTAAGAGATTAATTCGTACTTTTGTAAGAATACTATTTTGCTTGTATAACAGACTATACGTTTAGCTGAAATAGTAGAACTAGACTATAATTTACTGGTGTTAAAGTATTACAACGGTATTACTAATTTGATAATTATCATAAAGTTTAGTTGTTTTCTTGATTGCAGTATGCATACTAATCCAGCGGCGATGAATGACTTTATGAAATACATTTATATGGCACCATGGATTCGTTTTATTCCTAATGTCATTGGCGTAGTTACCGGATATTTTATGTATAAAATTAATGGTAGGAAAATAAGACTACACTGGGTAAGTTTTGAATACTGAATATTCGGCAAACTCCTGATGTTTTTCTTTTCATAATGACACATATGATTGGAAGAATGAAGCTGTTTTACAAAACATGCTGTTATAAGTCTCCATCGCATGACAGATATCAATGAAACAAATATTGTATTTACTATTTGGCTTCAATATAGTAACTTTAAAAAAAGAATTGGAAAAATTGGTAAACGAAAATTGAACTTTTCAACTAAATGATAAGGATCATTTTTGTCTTTTATTGTCACCTCTTAACAGGTTTTAAGCGAAATATTGTTGGCGAAATTATACACCGTGATTAGGCGATGTAATAAAAAATAGCAGTATTAAATAACAGCAGTTGCAATTACAGGCAATATCTGGATTATTATGGATAGCAGCTATAACAACAGGAGTCGGATGTCTTTATGGGTTGTATGATTACAATCAGGGGAAAACCACTTTAAGTGATTTTCAAAGTGCATCTTACTACATATTTCATCGAATAGGTTGGTCACTGTCGTTAGCCTGGGTAGTTTTCGCTTGTCATCACGATATGGCTGGTTAGTTCACTGTCTTCTTTTTTATTCTATTCTTATGCGCTAATCTTAGAAACCTGTCGCTGCCAATATACAACTGCTTTTTAATTGCTCGCAAATTCTTTTCATTCATGAAGTGTAACGGTGACATGGACTTTAGCTGTGCTAATGGTTTAAAAGTTGATTCTTGTTAAACAAAAAATATGGAACAAATAAATTTAGGACTTATCAAAAATTTTATGGAACATGGATTTTGGATGCCACTTGCCAGATTAGGCTATTGTGCTTATTTAATTCATTTTATGGTTATCTATGTGTTTCTTTCGCAGAACAAAGCTCCATTACACTTCGACAATATGACTGCAACAGTAAGTTAATAGTAATTTTCCTAAACACCTAAAGAATTAAATTGAAAAATTTTATTTAAAATTTTTTTAAAATTATATGTATTTATTTGGCACATATATCAGAAATATATGTGATATAATTAGCATATTTTTATGCATTTATATTTTTTTCGCGCTTTATCATTACTCCTTTTGTATGTCTTTAATAAAACTGTAAATCCTGTGTAGTTTTTTTTTCAAACTATTTATGTTTCAGTACATGCATGTGGGACTACCATGTTTTGTTATTGCTTATGCATTTTCATTTGTATGGAGCTGTAGTTTTGAATTGCCGTTTGCAAAATTGGAGAAATTGATAACAACAATGATTATTGGCAGTTTAATGCGACGGCAAACCGCAACTACCAAAGTACTTAGTACAAATACCGAGAAAGCTAATACAATTGTATTTGAAGCATCAAATAAGGATCAGACACCTGCCTCATTTGGAATCATAAAGCTTCCAAATGGTAACGCCTACAAAGAACTAGATTTGAGTGGTTTTTCAAGACTGCCACCTTACAATGCTCAGAACGCTAACTTTTCAGTAGCAACTATTTCGAAAAACGATCAACGGTTTTAGAAAAGCAGTTGTTGTATTTTAGTTAGTGAACTTTTGAAATACCTAATTTCTTGTTCAGCGATATAACATAAGTTTTTGGTAACTTCTTAGGAACGGTTACGAAAATTTCAAATATTTAGAGGATAAGAAACTAAAAGTAAGAACCAGATTATCTGCAGCTCCTGCATAGCGAGAGAACTGAAAATTCAAGTACAGGTTATTTTAATGGAAACGGCATTGCAGGAAACAATGTTGCAATGCACAATATGTATAAAATAGTTTTAAATCATTATTTATTATGTTTGATAAAAGCTTTTTTAAGCGAATTTTTTTATAACTTGTTTGTAATGATAGTTAAAATAGATACTAGTTTATTGAAGAAGTTAAAGCATTTTGAAATATGTCATTTAAGCCTTAATTGTATGTGGATGTTCATTTTACACTTATATGTATGTATATATGTTCAATGGTTAAACGGTTAAACGATTAATAAACTATACACAATTTTAGTCTTCATTTTTTTCTTGTTACTATTCTTTCACAAGTTTATGACAACATAAAATCAGACATCAATAAAAATGGGCAATAAAAGTATTCAAGGACTCTGAACTCAAATTATATTTGTAACTTCTTCGTTATCACAGGCTGAAACTGGTTAAACCTTCACGATTACCACTGGTATTGAAGTGTTAACAAAAAAAAAAAAAACAAACAAACATTGAAGTTTAAAATTTACAACTGATTAGTGTACTAACTGTTGACTTTCAAACACCAAATCAAAGTTGGTCTAAGTTCTTGTTACTTTGACTGTCCAACTCAATTTCTATTAACTACTGATCGAAGTATGCCCAAATTAGATATGCAGCTGCAAAACATAAGATGACTGACAAGAAAAAACTTCTAATTTTCAAATGATAAACTATCATTAGTAAAAATTGCCAAGCTGATGCCCAAGCTCAGAGAGTTTCAGCAGTTTTCTCATAATTTACTTTCTCCTCTTCTCAACTCTTCCTTTCAAAATTTTATTTTCTTTGGTTGATAAACCAGTCTTTTATTTTTCTTTTTCACTAGCTTTTTAGGTGTCATTACAGTTGTTAAATGAGCAATTGTTCTAAACAATTAATTGCTGTAAAATTCTCAGTAAAGTATGCTATTTTTTTGCAAACAAAAGAAAAAAATGTTTATAGTTTGAGAGATACAAATATTACACTTTTATAGTTTACTAATTTGCTGAAGTTCAAAGAAGTTTTTACAAAAAAAAAAAAAGGGAAAAACTGATGTATTATACTGACGTAATTCCAGCCTTCTATTTCATTTTTTATAGAGTACAGATCAAAGATGTGACAGCATCATTAAAAGTTGCATTAAAAGTATTATTCAACATTACTATAATTTTGGGTAATTAACATTGTCTAAAGTGTAGTGACACAGAAAAAAAAAAGTTTACTGCAGAATTAGATATGAACAAAAGTTATAAACGATTTTAGTGTCATTTTGAAAACAAAAAAAAAGCTTCCGCATTGCAGGCTCATAAAAATTGGAGTTTGAAGTTCAGATAACAATAACGATACACCAGCGTCCTCTTTCTCTCCTTCCTTTCTACTTTTACGAGCTTTTTAAGCATGATGCATACTGATAAACCAGACTAGCGATTTTTGAGCTTTGAACGTACACCAGTGTTAGTCGATATAAAATGCATAGCAAAAAACATTTCAGTTTTCTCCAAATTTTCTCCATGTCGTAGACACTCAACAATTTACAAGCATACAAAGTTGAAATATAAAATATGACTTTGAAACTTCACTGTATTTAAACTGCAACAAATGGTATCAACATTTTAGACTCCACATTTAAACTCTGAAAACCATATTTTCGTTGAACGATTAAACAGTTTATAATTGGTCCCACAGATTCGTTAAATAAAACGCAGAACATCTTGATTAATGGTGTTTTATATTAACAAGTACTATATTATATCTCCACGTGTTATACAAATCCGAAAAAAAAGAAAACCGATAACATTACTAGTTCTTCAAGGTTCTCAAAAGAATATGAAAAGCAAAAGTCAGAAAAAAAAGCAGTAAATTACTGTTCAACAAAAGCGATTTGCATTTTAGAATAGCAGAAAAGCAATTACATAGAAAGGAAAAAATTCCCGGATTACACTGTAACATTTTTACTACTGAACAGCATTATTCTGACCTTTAGTAAATGAATACATAAGGTTGAGTAAAAAGTGAAAAAAACCACCTAAGACACTTTTAAGATACAGGTAAAAGAATAAACATATTTGCTTAAACATGCAGTAAAGAAGACCAGTTGAACAGTGGAATTTACATTCGATGTAAACTTTAAAAAATAGCTCATCTATGATATATCAAACTGAACTGTCAGCGTTTTAAAGTACCAAAAATTCAGCTGCATAATTTTTCTACACTAAATACGCTGTTAAGATAGATGAGTTTTCAATCTGATATCTTGAAGTAACACTAGAAAACTTATTGCAAGGAAAATAAACTTCTCTTAAAGCAAAACAAACTGATTGCTCGTCGCAGGTGCAAATGACAAACGCTTACTAACAACTATATGTGTTCCTACAAAAAAAACTTTCCAAACACTTGTCATTATATAACAAAATATTATATTTATCTATCTGTTTATTTTTTGATCAGTAATTTTATTTGGTTGTACAACAACCTAATAAAATGTATATGAAAATACTGTTGTGTTTCAACTTTTATTATATCTATTGACAACAATTCTATCATAATTAAAAAAGTTATTAGAATTAAAAACGAATAAACAAGCTTTTTAATCCTTCACAATTACAAAGTGGTAATCCCAGTTTATCCAACAAGTA